CTTAAAGGCTCTCTCTCTTTCTCTCTCTCCCTCTCCCCCTCTCTCTCCCCCTCCCTCCCTCTCTCGCTCTCTTCTCTCCAGACTCTGGGAAAACCCTCTTTGCACAACACTGTCCACACGCCGCTCTCTAGGATCCCATCTCTAACTAAGATTAATGGCTGCCACCTGTCACAGTCGCATCAACATCTCGCTCGTACATCATGCAATAACTACAGCTGGCAACAGTGACAAGCCTCCAAACCCCCTCCTCCCCTCGCCTCCCCCGCCTCCCCCGAGCTCCCACACTCACACGTGTTGGGGGCCCGGGTCCCTGTGTGTTTGTGTGCAGATCTGGCGCCCACAGAGCTGGTCCACCTCGCGCTCGTGGCTGCTGCAATCCGTCATCTCGCGGCCGGTTTTAATTCCAGTTAACTGCATGAGTGCGCGAGGCTTATAATGGAATTGAATAACAGCGCTGCTCCGGTGCCTTGCGCCGCCACACTTTAATTGGAACCAGGGATTTTTTTTTGTATTTTCTTGCAGCAGGGAAAAATAGGAATAGTTTTTAAGACAATGGGAACAGGGGAGGGAGGAAGTGTAAGGGAGGAGCTGAGTAATGTGGGAGTTTAGAGTGGAGGAGATTGTCAAGTGTGTGTGTGTGTGTTGGTGTGTGTGTGTGTGTGTGTGTGTGTGTGTGTGTGTGTGTGTGTGTGTGTGTGTGTGTGTGTGTGTGTGTGTGTGTGTGTGTGAGTGTGAGTGTGTGTGTGCACTTGTTTTCAACTCCTGGTGGGTTCCATAACCTGAGATTCCACTCACGTCATGGGGACTGGTTTTACGTGGTGGGGCCCGAACACCGGACCCACTGGTCCAAGCTTAATAATCAATGGGTAATGCTTTTCTAACGGTCCTTATGCAGTCTGTGTAAAAATATGGAAAGGACCCCTGGAGGTTTACTTTCCTGAAAAAAGTGTGTTATGTGTCGGAACCCTGGTGGTGGGTTGCGGAATATCAAGGAGGGGCACACTGGGGCAATTTCAGTCCAGCAGGCTGGAGCCAATCATGGAGCAGCACAACAGAGGAAATCAGGTGTCAGGCTAGAAAAGGTGCAAGTGTGTGGTTCATTAGGCTGCAAGACATCATGGAGGAGCACACTGAAGCGCACGCTTACAAACCACTGGTAAGTGCTGACTACAAGTCATGACTTCAAATTGTTATATACAATTATTACAAATTATTTGTTGTTTGTGCAGCTTAGTCAAGAGTCCCTAATTGATGAAGTCGACTCAGATTCTGACGATTTAACTGTCAAGAAGAAACCTGTAAAAATGTATGGAAAATGAAAAATCAATAATACTTTTCTTCAAGACTCGGAAAGTGACGAACCAAAGGCAAATAAGATCGTTATCATGCAGCTGCAAAAGAAGAAAAATGGGAGAGTTTACAGCAAGAGACACTTCTGCCTCTACTGTTCAATGTCCTGCCACAAAATGTCCCGTCATTTGACTAGAAAACATGGAAATGAAAGTGACGTAGCCAGAGCATTGGCTCTACCTGTGAAATCTAAAGCACGTAAACTTCAGTTTGATTTGATCAGGAATAGTGGAAACCGTGAGCACAATGTTGAGGTTTTAAAGGCCGGCATTGGAACTTTAGTCCCAGCTAAACAGCCAAATTCCCCAGTTAAATCCAGTGAGTTTTTGCACTGTATAGACTGTGGGGCATTGCTTAAGCGAAAGTCGCTGTGGAGGCATGTGGCCAGGTGCCGGCTTTCACAGAAAGATGCCCAGGCTAAACCAGGTAGAAGTAGGGTCCAGTCCCTCTGCTCCCTAGCTCAGCCTGTACCGGAGGGCATCAGCAAAAAGCTGTGGTCTTTAATTTGGGCAATGCATCAGGATGAGGTCACGGGTGTTGTCAAAGCAGAAAAGGGGATTCTGAGACTCGGAGAGCACCTGTACTTAAAACACGGGCATGATAAGACTAAGCATGATTACATTAGGCAGAAAATGAGAGAAGTCGGTAGGTTAATTAACGAAGCAAAAACCGCAGGGAAACTGAAAACAATGAAGGATTTCTTTATTCCTTCCAACTTTAACCATGTGATTGATGCAGTCAGGTCTGTGGCTGGATATGATGAGGAAACAAATCAATACAAGACTCCATCCTTGGCCCTCAAACTCGGCCATAGCCTCAGAAAGCTAGCAGATATTCTTGAATGTGACTCAAAAATGGAGCATTGTGTTGATGAACTATTTATTAAAAACCTCCAACGAAGCCGGCTGCTTTTTGAGAAGAGGTGGGACGTCTGTGTTTCTGCTGCCCTACAGACCCTCCGGCAAGCCAAGTGGAACACTCCGGACCTGCTCCCTCTGACTGAGGACGTTAGAGCCATGCATGCACATATCGAGGTATGTCGACCTGAATATGTGCAAAGCATTTTCAACGCATTGAAATTAAAGGGAAAAGAAGTCGGAAAGTGCCGGTTCTTTTGACTCCTGAAATGATTGCTTCGATGGAGGTGCTGGTGGAGAACAGAAGGGCCTGTTCCATCTCTGACCATAACCCATACTTCTTCTCCCGCCCGGGCGCAGACACCCACATCAGGGGATCAGACTCCCTACGCCAGGTAGCCAAAGAATGTGGTGCGGTGCATCCAGAGATGCTATCCTCAACCAAACTTAGAAAGCACATAGCTACTATGTCTACAGTTCTCAATATGAAAGAGAATGAGATGGACATACTTGCCAACTTCCTCGGCCATGACATTCGCATCCACAGGCAATATTACAGACTACCAGAGGGGACACTGGAGCTGGCCAAAATCAGCAAAGTGTTGATGGCCATGGAGCAGGGAAGAGTGACGGAATTCGAAGGAAAGAGCCTCGACCAGATACAAATTGAGCCTGAAGGTAATTCTTGATATTATTAAAATATGTATAATTTTTTTCCGCTAAAGGCCACTTGTATTTTTATTTTCTGTGCGACAGGGAGAGCAGTAGAGATCCTCTCACAAACGGACGGGCTAAAAGATACTTCAAGCGGAGAACCTTCAACCATTCATCCAGATGCACCCCATGGTAGTGGCAGTGCCCCTTCTGGTAAGTGTACCAGGTGGGGGATTACAGCCAGGCTGCTTGGTCCTAACCCTGGGAGTGTATATTGCTAATATATTTTTATTTCTCTCCCTAGAACGTGTAAGAAAGCCATGGTCTGCATCTGAGGTGAAGGCTGTGGAGAAGACCATGACGCCTTTCATACAGACTGGAAAGGTCCCTGGGAAGTCTCACTGCCTGGCCTGCATTAATGCCTCACCAGATGACCTTAGACATCGGACATGGAGTGGCATTAAATTTTATGTCAAAAATAGAATCACTGCAATTCGAAAAATAAAATAAAAATAAAAATCCTTTAAAAGAGTTGTTTGTTTTCTATTGACTGTTTTGTATTACTTAAAGTAGCCCCAGTAAAAAAGATTATGTCTATGGGTCCCATTCTGAACGGCCCTGTCAAAGGGACCCACCAGGTAACAAAAACGTGTGTGTGTGTGTGTGTGTGTGTGTGTGTGTGTGTGTGTGTGTGTTTTTAATGTACTGTGATTTGCAATGATTTTAATGCAATCTTGTTTGTTCAGCACTTTGAGTTGCCTGGTGTACTAATTGTGCTGTACAAATAAACTTGCCTTGCCAGAGCGAGAGACCAAAGAGACTATATAGAGACCAGAGAGAGACCTCCTCCCCCCTAACCCCCCCCCTCCCCCTTTACCCTCCCGAGAGAGGCCAGAGAGAAAAAGAGAGACGTCCTGTGGCTACATCTCTGAGGCCCTCTGTGCTTCTCTATATTGCTCTGTGTTGCTCTGTGGTGTCTCTCTGACCTGTGGCCCTCTTCCTTCTGTTTGTAAACGCACTCAATTCTAATCGTTGCGGCAGCGTAGACTCCTCCAAAGTAAGTGTCTAATGGCTGTGAATTGATTATCGTGTCCTGTTATCAGCTGCAAATCTGTCTAATCCAGGTATTTCCTTCAGGACGAGTGAGGGACGCTATAATTAGCCGTTAGCTTTCAGCTTCGGTTAGCGTGTGGCAGCGGTTAGCGTGTGGCAGCGGTTAGCGTGTGGCAGCGGTTAGCGTGTGGCAGTGGTTAGCGTGTGGCAGCGGTTAGCGTGTGGCAGTGGTTAGCGTGCGGCAGCGGTTAGCGTGCGGCTGCAGCAGGTGAAACATGGAACAGAGGCTGTAACAAAAACGATCACCTCTTCTCTCTCTGACATATGGGAGGGCTTCCTGAAGAATAAAATATCTCAAAATTAGGGCTGTCAAACAATTAATTTTTTTAATCGAGTTAATTACAGCTTAAAAATTAATTAATCGTAATTAATTGCATTTCAAACTATTGGCAAAATTATGCCATATTTTTCTGTAAATTGTTGTTTGAATGGAAAGATAAATGACAGCTTAGTGAACATATGTACTGTATTTATTTGTTATAACAATAAATCCATATAAAATGGCTCTTTCTGTTTAGACTCAGACCAAAACCATTGTTTGTTACAGATGAGGGACATTTCAAAATAGTCTGAAATTCAGAATGTAATTAAATCTGTTTGATTTGCTCACACCATTACTTTTTTTGGCACAACTAACATGAACATGAAAATTAGGTACCTCAGCTTTAATTTAGCGAGTGCGCTTCGGGAGAAGACACGGAGGAGACTGAGGCTTCAGCGCTGTAGATATTGGCTGTGTCCAAAACGGTAGGCATCGGGCCGCGTAGGGTGGATATGTAGGCATCGTGACGTCACTTCCTCAAGCGACGGCTATTGTAGGGGTGTCCAAAACCACTTGGCGAGCTCGCCAAGCGTAGGCATCATGACTTCGTCTCTATGGAAACGGCCACTTTTGGAGCAGATATGAAGGATGCATCTGATGTATGCTTCGCTGCCTTCTTTTTGCCAAGTCACGGCCGCGCATGCGCAGAACTCCGTTCGGCATTAACATGTAAACAACAGCTCGGAGCTGCTGGAGCTAACATTATGGTAAGCACTGCTATACTTTACTGTGAAGTTATGTCTATAGTAAGTACTGCTATACTTTACTGTGAAGTTATGTCTATAGTAAGTACTGCTATACTTTACTGTTGAGTTATGAACACGACTGTTATGATAAAACACAGACATAAATTAGATCTGCCACAGATGTGTGTATTTAACCTTGTTATCTCCTGTAAATAAGCTCAGTCCCGAAAAGCTAATGCTACGAGGCTAGTTCATTCAGATTCGGTTTTTGAACAAGAAAAATCATGTTGTGTTTTATCTTTTAGGGAGAAACAAACCCACTGATTAAATATTAAAGCTACACTGAGGAAAGTCACGTTTTCATGGAAAATCACTCTGCAGCACAGCAGCTATAGTATGCTAACACATGTTTTCTGTATTCATATAAAATAGATTGTGCATATCGTTTTTAATCCCATACTGAGACTGGGAAAACTGTATATATTAGACATATGAAATTATAGAATAGGCCAAGAATAATTATAAAGCCCTTTTCATACAATAGTCTAATAAATAGTAAACACACATTATACAGAGGTTTTGTTTGTCATTAAGACATTTGCAGAGGACAAAGTCCCACTTCCACAAACACAGGTTTAAAGTTGTTAGCCATGCTCATAACTTGATTATTTGTGTATATTTCTATCATATCATTCTTCTGTTTCCCCTGCTGTGAAGCTTGTATCTCTAATATTAAATACTGTAAGGATTTCTGTATTTTATTTTTAACCAGTTTTTTGCAAAGCCCCAAATAAATAGTATTAATTGAATATGAAGTGTAAAAAGAATCCTAAATGTGGGCTGTGTTTTAATGCATGATGTTTGTGTTCTTCTTTTTCAGAGACTTGTGGTGAAATTAAGGTCATAATTTCTCCAGCTTCACGTCCTGCTTCACCTCCATCACCTCCTGCTTCACCTCCATCACCTCCTGCTTCACCTCCATCACCTCCTCACTGCTGAAAACATTATGAACTACAACAAACTTGTATATAATATTTTCCTTTAATCACCAGTCATGAATAGTTAGAACAGTGGGCTCTGCATCTCTGAAGACATGTAGCAGAAGGAGCAGCAGCAGAAGGAGCAACAGGAGGAGCAACAGGAGGAGCAACAGCAGCAGAAGGAGCAACAGGAGGAGTAACAGCAGCAGCAGCAGAAGGAGCAACAGGAGGAGCAACAGGAGGAGTAACAGCAACAGCAGAAGGAGCAACAGGAGGAGTAACAGCAGCAGCAGAAGGAGCAACAGCAGGAGCAGCAGCAGAAGGAGCAACAGCAGGAGCAGCAGCAGCAGGAGCAGCAGGAGCAACAGCAGTAGGAGCAACAGCAGCAGGAGCAACAGCAGCAGCAGCAACAGGAGGAGTAACAGCTGCAACAGCAGCAGCAGAAGGAGCAACAGGAGGAGTAACAGCAGCAGCAGAAGGAGCAACAGGAGGAGTAACAGCTGCAGCAGAAGGAGCAACAGGAGGAGTAACAGCAGCAGCAGAAGGAGCAACAGGAGGAGTAACAGCTGCAGCAGAGGGAGCAACAGGAGGAGTAACAGCAGCAGCAGGAGCAGCAGCAGAAAGAGCAACAGTAGCAGTAGCAGAAGGAGCAACAGCAGCAGGAGTAACAGGAGGAGTAACAGCAGTAACAGCAGCAGCAGGAGCAGCAGCAGAGTCCTGGGCGTCTGCCTCTGACACAGGTCTCATCGACAGCACTTCACAGAGAACCTGGAAATAAAGAAAACTAAAATCAAACTTGTTGGTTTTATTATGATTTTGTTGTTTGTGTGAAATGTAAAGAGTCATCAAAGTGAGGTATTATTTACACAACTACATATTTGTCAGCAGTACTTATACTTATACTTATAATTGAATACATTAAACTCAAATGTGATTAGTAACGATCTGTTTGCTTTTCAAGAGACATTAAAGTGAATAAGAGCAGTGTCAAACATCTGTGTTCAACTTCATTTTACAGATGTCTGTTAATGTTTCCATGGATGTGTCAGTTATTATTATAGATCCATGGATGTGTCAGTTATTATTATAGATCCATGGATGTGTCAGTTATTATTATAGATCCATGGATGTGTCAGTTATTATTATAGATCCATGGATGTGTCAGTTATTATTATAGATCCATGGATGTGTCAGTTATTATTATAGATCCATGGATGTGTCAGTTATTATTATAGATCCATGGATGTGTCAGTTATTATTATAGATCCATGGATGTGTCAGTTATTATTATAGATCCATGGATGTGTCAGTTATTATTATAGATCCATGGATGTTCCAGTTATTATTATAGATAAATGGATGTGTCAGTTATTATTATAGATCCATGGATGTGTCAGTTATTATTATAGATCCATGGATGTGTCAGTTATTATTATAGATCCATGGATGTGTCAGTTATTATTATAGATCCATGGATGTGTCAGTTATTATTATAGATCCATGGATGTTCCAGTTATTATTATAGATAAATGGATGTGTCAGTTATTATTATAGATAAATGGATGTTCCAGTTATTATTATTATAGATAAATGGATGTTCCAGTTATTATTATAGATAAATGGATGTTCCAGTTATTATTATAGATAAATGGATGTGTCAGTTATTATTATTATAGATAAATGGATGTGTCAGTTATTATTATAGATCCATGGATGTTCCGGTTATTATTATTATAGATAAATGGATGTTCCAGTTATTATTATAGATAAATGGATGTGTCAGTTATTATTATAGATAAATGGATGTGTCAGTTATTATTATAGATAAATGGATGTTTCTCTCTCATCAGCAAACACACGTTAATACATTTAGGTCTGATAAAATTAATTTTAAGTGATGCACAAACGAGGGCCATAGCAAATATATAATCCATATCTAATAATCATTTATTGCATATATGTGCATTGTTTACATAAAATATAACTTTGTAAAAACTAATGATTACTGCCAATACAATTGTTATAACAGAGAAAGTGTAACAACAAAAGCATCCTCTGTTTTTTCAGAATACGATTGTAAACATCCAGGGGGCTCTCATTACCTGAACCCGTGTTTAGACAGCCTGTTCTGGGCTTCAGCACTGCAGCTAACTGGGCTGTTAGCTTATAGCACCGGAGCTTCAGGCTGGAGGTAAAGTCCGAAAATTTTCGAATTTATCTCCAAACAGACTTCTGATATGACAATAAAGGGGGATATTTCTCGCCTCAAATGATATTAGAATTAACTTTTATGTCCTAATTAAAGCGTATTTAGAACTTTTTACCGTCCATCATGGCCGCCGTGTCCTTCCGCTCCGCTCTGAGTTGTGTAGTCACGTGACGAAGGCAGAAGGCAGCTGCTGTCCAAATCCACATCACGTCTCGCCTCCTACCTCGCCTGTGGCTACGCGGCCTTCCCTCGATGCCTACATATCCACCCTACGCGGCCCGATGCCTACCGTTTTGGACACAGCAATTGTGTGCATCGTACGCACACTAGAAAATAGTTCTGTAATAGTTCGGTGCGTGGTCTTGGATATGATCCCATTACGCAGCGCCGTTCGCCGTGATCACAGCCGCTGGAAGTGGTGCTGCTGTCCAGAGCGCTGTGGCGCCCGCAGCTCATCATGCAGAGTTCATACAGGAAACAACAAGTGTCCCGCGGTCACGTGTGTATTCTTTCAAAACTTGAATTCCCAGAGGGCCTACCTGCTCTGTCCCCATCTTACACACGCATGTGTCCGCGACATTCTGAGTGTTATTATGGGATGCATGGGCATGCGTCAAATGCGTTAATTTTTTTAACGCAATTAATAAAAAAAAATTTAATTAACGTGCGATAATTTTGACAGCCCTACTCAAAATATATTTAAATGTTTTGATAAAATTCCTCTGATACAAAATACTAAAATAAAATACTTTTTTTGATGCAAATGTGATAACCCAAACCGATGGCAAAACATCACATTTAATCCGCATTTTTCAGGACACCCAGAGATGCTTCACAGGTCATCATTGTTTCACTTCATACACAGTGGTGATAAACTACTACTGTAGCCACAGCTGCCCTGAGGCACATTAAAGCTACACACTGTGGCACCAGAACCACCAGAGCAGTCATTTTGATGTCTCCCATGTTTTGAGTTTTCCATTTGTTTGATCAAAATGAAGTCACTTAACCAATGTGTTTAAACCGGATTATAACTGAAATAACAACATCGTTAAAAGGCTAAAGGCTAAAGGCTAACTGCTAACAGCAGTGTAACTTGCTCTTTTGTGGTGGAAAACAAGCTACGCTAAGAACCAGAACCAGACCAGGACCAGACCAGAATGAAGCAGTGGAAATGCTCTGGGAGTTAAAGGAAGAACATTTCATGAATAAAAGATGAGTAGACATTGAAACAAACTACAGATAGACACAGAAAAAGTCTCAAAGTCTCAAAGTGATGAAGACGTCAAATGAAGGCAGAGGCTGTTGCCGCAGTAACCACCAGGGCAACAACAGGTCCTAGTCACAGACGAGATGAGCCGATAAATAAAAGTTTGGTGACATTCAAAACACAAACTTTACAAACAGTTCTAAACACAGCGCCCCCTCCAGTGAAGTGCACCAGAGCACCTGCCACGGCGCCATGTCAATCCCTCCTCACCCTTCTCTCTCTCCTCATCCTTCTCACCCTCTTCACACTCCTTCCTTCTCTCTCTTCTCTCTCTCCTCACCCTCCTCCATTTTCTCCCTCCTCACCCTCCTTCCTTCTCTCCCTCCTCACCCTCCTTCCTTCTCTCCCTCCTCACCCTCACCCTTCTCTCCCTCCTCACCCTCCTCCCTCAGATCAAATTGAGTCCAGATATAATTTGCCTTAAGACCACATTGGAATAACTGTGAACGACTACCCCAGCTCCCCCCCCTTACCCTCCCGACAGCTTGCAGCCTCTCGTCCGCTCGCCTCCACACGCCGCTTGCCGGAGCACTGAGTCCTGAAAACACACGGCCCTGATTCTGTGCTTTGCTCCGGGGCCCGTCTCTCTCACAGCGGGCTCCTCCCAATATCTGAATGACAAATGAACGGGAGAGCGAGGTCAGATGGTGCAGACACACTCGCTGCTCCTTGCTAATCACACCCACCTCCAGGACCCCGCCAGGCTTCCGTACTTCTCCAGGGGGGACAAATTACTACCTTCCACTTTGCCTGTCTTTCCCTCTCTGCCTCCTGCTTTGTTTGTTTGCTCCACGGGTAATTTCTTTATGTAAATTCCCTCAACGACGACTAACGCGGCAATTATATTAAGTAAAAGTGTTGGTTTTACACCGGCACTAAAATCCAAATGAGGGTAAACAGTTTCTGGAGGCGAAAAAGGGCGGGAGGAATGCGGGAAGTGTATTACAGGGAAATGGAGAGATTTAGAAAGGAATGGAGAGAGAGAGAGGGAGGAGGGGAGAGAGTCAAAGTTTATAATAATAATAGTTTGGTTCATGTGACATCATAGGGGCCTGTAATGAGCATATAGTGGTGGTAACTATGGTAACTGTGATAATGGTCAAAAGTAAGATTCTGGTTTGAGTTTGGAGACTTTTTTCTGTCATTTCTTTAATGATCCACATTAAGCAAAAATGATCATGAAGTTCAATATTTTCTTTGTCAACAATGGTCTCTCTTTCGGGTCTCGCTCTAGTCTCTCTGGTCTCTCTCTGGTCACACTCTCTGGTCTCTGTTTCTAGAGACCTTCATGAGACAATAATGAGACCATTGTTGGCAGAGCGACCAGAGACACACCTGAGACAGACCAGAGAGAGAGACCAGAGAGGAAAACCAGAGAGAGACCGGAGAGACACCAGAGAGAGACCAAAGACACAGACCAGAGAGAGACCAGAGACAGACCAGCTAGAGACCAGAGAGAGATCAGAGAGAGACCAGAGAGGGACCAAAGACAGACCAGAGAGAGACCAAAGACACAGACCAGAGAGACCAGAAAGAGAAACCCGAAAGAGAAACCAGAAAGAGACCAGAGAGAGCACAGAGACAGACCAGAGACAGACCAGAGACAGACCAGAGACAGACCAGAGACAGACCAGCTAGAGACCAGAGAGAGACCAGAGAGAGACCTGAGAGAGACCAGAGAGAGACCAGAGAGTGACCAGAGACAGACCAGAGAGAGACCAGAGAGAGACCAGAGAGAGACCTGAGAGAGACCTGAGAGAGACCAGAGAGAGACCAGAGAGAGACCAGAGAGAGACCAGAGAGAGACCAGAGAGAGACCAGAGAGAGACCAGAGAGAGACCAGAGAGAGACCTGAGAGAGACCAGAGAGAGACCAGAGAGAGACCAGAGAGAGGACAGAGAGAGACCAGAGAGAGGACAGAGAGAGACCAGAGAGAGGACAGAGAGACCAGAGAGAGGACAGAGAGAGAGCTGTTTGAACTAATCACACAAGCCACAAATGTATTCTTCTCGCTCTGTCCTGCAGTGATTACACACAGATACACCTTCCCTGTATACTGTATTTTTGTGTGTATCTGTGTGTGTCTGTGTGTATCTATCTGTATCTGTGTGTGTGTGTGTGTGTGTATTTGTTTGTATCTGTGTGTGTGTCTGTGTGTGTATCTGTGTGTGTATCTGTTTGTGCATCTGTGTGTGTGTCTGTGTGTGTATCTGTGTGTGTATCTGTGTGGGTATCTGTGTGTGTCTGTGTGTAAATGTGTTTGTGTCTGTGTGTGTGTATCTATTTGTATCTGTGTGTTTGTCTGTGTGTCTGTGTGTATCTGTTTGTATCTGTGTGTGTGTCTGTGTGTATCTGTTTGTATCTGTGTTTGTGTCTGTGTGTGTGTCTGTGTGTATCTGTTTGTATCTGTGTGTGTGTCTGTGTGTATCTGTTTGTATCTGTGTGTGTGTGTCTGTGTGTGTGTCTTTGTGTTGTTAAACCTCGCTCCGTCTCCTCTCGTCTTCTCTCTGAGTGGCCATCTCCTGAACCCTGTGGACGTCTGTGGGTCCAGGGTCATGTGTGACAGACTTGACCTCAGACTCGCCGGGCCCTGGACTGAGCAGGTGAGATGGGGTCTGGGTCAGGACTCAGACCAGGACTCAGAGGTCAAAGGGCAGATATGAGTTTAATTGAGGCCAGAAGGAGCGCGGTTAATGTGGACCTTTGACTTTGAGGCTGAGGCTTTAACAAAGACCATGTTCAAATTACTAAAAGTCAATTACAAGTTGTTTTTGTAGCTATTGTCTCGTGTTTGAGCCAGTGTCAGCTGCCACAGTCACACCTGCAGGGGAAAGACAGATTCTGACTGACCTCTGAAGCTAAGCAGGGCAGGGGCTGGTTATTACTGTGATGGGAGACTTGTGGGAACGTCAGGTGCTACAGTGCGGCGGCTGTAAAGAGAGAGGCCAGAGAGAGAGAACAGAGAGAAATTAGAGTGTTGTGAGATAGGAACCAAAGAGAGGGACCAGAAAGTGACCAGCTATTCAGCTATCGTCCAGGAAGAGTGTCCAGTATGTTGTTAGAAAGTTGCTACATGGCGATCAAATAGGGACCAGAGAGTGAGACCACAGACAGTCACATATAGTCCAGAAAGGGAGACCAGAGAGGGACTAGAGAGACACCAAAGAGCAGTGAGATAAGATAAGATAAGCTTTATTCATCTCACAGAGGAGAAATTTACATGTTACATTTGGCATGGATAGAGACACTCAGATTGTGCAAAAGGAGGAAATGTGCAAACATGTTACATGCAGGATATATATGTACAATAAAAATGACAATAATTATGTACAACAAAAGTGACAAGTGTCAATTGGAAACAGTGTCAATAGTAGTGCAGGTTTTCACACAGTGATCATTTAAAGTGACTTATTGTACAGTCTGACAGCGGTGGGGATAAAGGCCCTGCGGTAGCGCTCCTTCCTACACTGAGGGTGCCTCAGTCTTCCACTGAAGGAGCTCCTCAGCTCCTCTACAGTCCTGTGCAGTGGGTGGGAGGTATTGTCCATGATGGAGGTGGCTTTGGCTAGCACCCTCCTGTCCCTCACCTCCTCCACAGAGTCCAGGGAGCAGCCCAGAGTGGAGCTGGCCCTCCTGACCAGCTTGTTCAGTCTGTTTCTGTCCCGCTCTGTGCTGCCCGGGGCCCAGCACACGGCAGCGTAGTAAATGGCAGAAGCTACCACAGAGTCATAAAAAGTCCTGAGCAGAGGCCTGCTCACTCCGAAGGACCTCAGCCTCCTCAGAAGGAAGAGGCGACTTTGGCCCTTCTTGTGCAGGGTGTTTGTATTATGGGACCAGTCCAGTTTATTGTTAATGTGAACACCCAGGTACTTGAAGCTGTCCACCAGCTCAATGTCCTCCCCCTGGATGTTCAGCAGCGTGTGGGAAAGTGGTTTTCTCCTGAAGTCGATGATCATCTCCTTGGTCTTACTGGTGTTCAAGCACAAGTGGTTGCGCTCACACCAGTCGACAAAGTCCTTGATAACCGACCGATATTCCAGATCGTTCCCCTCAGACACAGCCCACTATGGCGGAGTCGTCGGAGAACTTCTGCAGGTGACAGCTGTGTGTGTCATGTGAAGTCGGAAGTGTAGATGGTGAAGAGAAACGGTGAGAGAACAGTGCCCTGAGCGGCCCCAGTGCTGCAGACTACCACCTCAAACTCACAGCTGCGCAGCCGCACGTACTGTGGTCGGTCTGAGAGGTAGTCGAATTGGTCCATGCAGTGAGGCTACTGTCCACTCCCGCGTCCTCCATCTTCCCCCGCATCACACCACACACACCACACACACACCACACACACACCCCCCCACTCCCACACCCCACACTCACCCCACACACACCACACACACACCACTCACACCCCCCCTCACAACACCACACACACTCCCACAACACCACCTACATCTACCCCCCACACACACCCACACACACCACACACACCACCAACAACACCACAACAACACAAAACACACACCCCCCCAACCCCCCCCACCAACCAACAAACCCACCCACACAACCCACCACCACACAAACACCCACCCCAACCACACACCAACAAACACCAACCCACACACACCACAACAAACCACCAACCACACAACCCACAACCCCCAACCCACCCCCCCACCACCACCCCCCCCCCCCCCCCCACACACACCCCAACCACCCCCACACAACCCCACCACACACCCCCCCCCCCCACCCAAACCACCCACCCCCCCCCCAAACCCAAACCCACAAACACAACTAAACCACCAACAACCAACAATCCACCCCACAACAAATAACCACAACAACCAACACCAAAAACCCCAAACACCACACAACCACATCCAACCACCCCCCAACACACAAAACCACCCAACCACTAAACCAAAAAAATAATAAATAAAAAAAAAAAACCCCAACCACAAAAACACCCCAACCAAACACCACCCCCAACCACAACACACCAACCAAACACCACCAACCACAAAACACCCCCACCCAACAACTCCACCAAACCACACACCACCCCCCACACCCAAAAACCACCAAACAACACAAACACCCAACAAAACACCCACCCAACAACAAAAACACCAGCCACAACACCACCAACCAACAACACCCAACCACACCACCACAACCCACCACCAACACAAAAACCCCCCCCACCCCCCCCCACCCCACCCCCACAACCACCCCCACCCCCCCCCCCCCCCCCACCCACCACCCCCCCCCACCCCACCCCCCCCCCACCACCCACCACCCCCCCCACCCAACCCCACCCCCCCCCCCACCAACCCCCCCCAACCCCCCCCCCCCACCACCCCCCCCCCCCCCCACAACCCCCCAACAAAAACAAACCCACCCCCACCAAAACAACACCCCACACAACACCCCCCAAACCCCAAAAACAACACCACACCCCCACAACCCCCACCCACCCCACCCCCCCACCAAACCCACACCCCCAACCACACCAACACACCCCCACACACACCACCACCCCCCCCACACACAACCCCCCACCAACCCACCCCCCACCCCAAAACAACACACCACCCCACCAACCCCCCCCCCCCCCCCCCAAAACAAACCCCAAACCCCCCAAACCCACACCCACCCCCCCCAACCCACCACCAAAACACCCAAACCACACAACACACCCCCCCCCCACCCACACCCCAACCCCCCCCCCCCCCCCCCCACCCCCCCCCCACCCCACAAACCACCCCCCACCCAACCCCCACAACCCCCCACCCCCACACACACACCCCCCACCCCCCCCCACCCCCCCCCCAACCCCACCCACCCACCCCAAACACCCCACCCCCCCCCCCCCCCCCCCCCCCCCCCAAAACCCCCCCCCACCACCCCAACCCACACACTCAACACCCCCCCCCCAACACCACCCACCCCCCCCCCCCCCCCCCCCCCCCCCCCCCCCCCAAACAAAAAACAACCCCACCACACACCCACCCCAACCACCCCCCCCCCCCCCCCCCACCCCACCCACAACAACCCACCCCAACAACCCCCACCCCCAACCCCCCCCCACCCCCCCCCCCCCCCCCACCACCCCCCCCACAAACCCCCAAAACCAAAACCAACCCCCCACCAACCCCCCCCCCCCCCCCCCCCCCCCCCCCCCACCCACAAACAAACACCACCACCAATCCCCCCCCACCACACCCCCCACCACCACCCAACAACCCCACCCACCCCCACAACCCCAACCACCACCACACCCCCCACCCACCAACACCCCACCACCCCCCACCACCCCACCCCCACCCACCCCCCAACAACAACCCCACCACCCAACCCCAACAACACACCCCACCACAACACACCCCCAAAACCAAACCCCCCCCCCCACCCCCCCACCCCCCCACTCAACCCACACACCCCCCCCCCACCCCACAAACACCCACCCCACCCCCCCCACAAACCCCCCCCCCCCCCCCCCAACACCAAAACCACCACACCACACCACAAACCACCCCAACCACCCACACCCCCACACAACAAACCAACACAACCCAAAAACCACACACACACACCACCCCCCCCCACCCCACCCACCCCACCCACCCCCCAACCCCCCACCAACACCCCCCCCACACAAACACCCAACAACCACAACCCCCCCCCCCACCCCCCAAACCCCCCCACACCCAAAACCCCACCCCCCCCAAACACCCCACACAAACCACCCACCACCCCAACCACCCCCCCACACCACCCCCACACCCCCAACACCCCAAACACAAACCCACCCACCCCCCCACCAACACACCACCCAACAAACAAACAAAAAACCCAACCACCCCACACAACCACCCCCCCCCCCCCCCCCCCACCACACACCCACACCACCCCCACCAAACCCCCCCCCACCCCCCCCCCCCCCCCCCACCACACACCCCAACACCCCCCCACCCCCCCACCCCCCCCCCAACCACACACCCCCCCCCACCCAACAAACCCCCACCACCCCCCCCCACAAACCCCCCCCCCCCCCCCAACACCACCCACCCACACCACACCACAACCACCCCCCAACCACCCACACCCCCCACACCAACAAACACACCACCCAACCCCCCCCCCACACACACCCCCCAACCCCCAACCAACAACCCACCACCCACCCCCACACCACCCCCCCCCACCCAACCCCCACCCACCCACCAACACCCCCCCCCACAACCCACCAACACCAACACCAACCCCCCCCCCCCCCAACCCACCCACCCCAACCCAAACTCCCCACCCACCCCACCCCCCCCCCCACACACCCCCACACCCCCACAACACCAAACCAACACCCACCACCCCCCCACCAACACCACACAACAACAAAACCCAACCACCCCCACACACCACCCCCCCCCCCCCACCACCACAACCCACACAACCCCCACAAACCCCCCCCACCCCCCAACCCCCCCCCCCCCCCACCCCAACACAACACAACCCCACCCCCCAACCCCCACCACCCCCCCCACCCCAACACCCCCCCCACACCAACACCCCCAACACCCACCCCCCCCAACACCCCCACCCCCCCCCACCCCCAACCCCCCAACCCCACCCACCCACCCCCCAACCAACACCCACCACCAACCCACCCCAAAAACCCCCCCCAACCCCCCCCACCACCCCCCACCCCCCCCCCACCCCCCCCCCCCCCCCCCCCCCCCCACCAACACCCCACCACCACCCCCACCCCCCCCCCCCCCACCCCCCCCACCCACCAACCCCACAACACCAACCCCAAAAAACCCCACCACAACCACCACCCCCCCCCCCCCACCCCCAAACAACACAAACCAAACACACCCACCCACAACCACCCCACCCCCAAAACCACCCCCAACCAACAAACAACACCCCCCCCCCCCCACCCCCAAACAAAACAACCCCAACCCCACAACCAACCCCACTAAACCAACCCACACAACCCCAAACCCCCACCCCACAACCCACCACCACACCCCACCACAACCACCCCCACCACAACCCCCCCCAACCCCCACCCCCCCCCACCACCCCACCCCCCCCCCCCCACCCAACCCCCCCAACCCCACCCCCCAACCCCCCACCCCCAAACACCCCCCCCCCCCCCCACACCCACAACACCCCCAACAACACCCAACCCCCCCAAACCCCCCCACCAACACCCCCCCAAACACAACCCCACCCCCCACACCCCCCCACCCACCACCCACCAAACCCCCCCCCCCACACACCCCCCCACCCAACCCCCCCCCACCAACCACCCACCACCCCACAACCAAACCCAAACACCCCCACAAACCACACAACCCACCACCCCACACCCCAACCCCCCCCCAAACCCCAAAAAACAACCCCACACCACCAAAAAAAACCCCCCAACACACCCCAACCCCCCCCACACCCCCCCCAACCCACCACCCCACCACCCCCCCCCCACACACCACACCCAACCCCCACAACCCCCACCACCCCCCCCCCACCCCCACCCCAACCACCCAAAACACCCCACCCCCCCCACCCCCCACCCCACCCACCCCCCACCACCCCCCCCCCCCCCCCACCCCCCACCCCCCCCCCCACCACCCAAACCCCACCCACACAACCACCACCCAACCCACCACCAAACCCCACACCAAACCCCACCACCAAACCCACCACCCAAAACCCCACCACCAAACCCCAACCACCCCACCCACCAAAACCCCACCCCACCAAACCCCACCACAAAACCACCACCAAACCCCACACCAACCCCCCCACACCAACCCCCACCACCAAACCCCCACCACCATAACCACCACCAAACACACCACCAACCCCACCCCAAACCCACACCCAAACCCACCACCAAACCCCACAAAAACCCCACCACACAAACCCAACCCACACACCCACCCCCCACCACCCCACACCAACCCACCCCCCCACACACCCCCCCACACCCACCCCACACCACACCACCCCACAACCCCCCCCCCACACCCAACCCACACCCACCCACCACACACACAACAACCAAAACACACCCCCCCCCCCACAACCCCAACAAACCCACCACAACACACCCAACCCCACACACATCAACAATAACCAACCAAACCATAACCAACAAACACAAACCCAAACCACACATCCCCCCCACCCACACACACACAACAACCCACCCCCAAAAACCCACCCCACCCCCCAAAACACCCCAAAAACACCCAAACCCCAATTCCACCACCCCCCCCAACCCCAAAACCCCCAACAAACCCCCCAATACCCCACAACACCACAACCCCCACACCCCCAACCCCCCCAACCCCCCCCCAACCCCCCCCCACCCCACAACCACCCCAACCCCCAACCCCCCAACACCCCAAACCCCCACAACCACCCCCCCCCAAACACCCCCCAACCACCCAAACACCAACCATCCCCCCAACCACCCAAAACCACCCACCCCCACAACCCAAAAACAACAACCCCCCAACCCCCCCAAACAACACCCCCATAACCCACCCCCAAACCACCAAACAACACCCCCCCCCCCCAAACCACCCAAACACCCACCCCCCCCCACCCTCACCACACCCACCAAACACACCCACACCCCAACCAACATAAAAAAAAAAACCAACAACCCACAAAAAACCCAACCCAACCCCCCACCCCCACAACCCACACAAACCCACCACCACAACACCCCACAAACAAAACAACCAACCACAACACACCAAACACCCCCCACCACCCACAAACCAACCCACCACAACACACCACCAAACCCCCCCCCCCACCACACCCACCCAAAAACATTACACTATCCAAAACACACAAAAAAACCCCACCCAACACCCCACCCCACCCACACCCCCAACCAACAAACACCCCAAAAAAACCCCATACACACCAAACAAAAAATCCCTAACCCATCACCCCACAAACCACCCTAAAAACACAAAAAAAACCACACCACAAAACACCTAACACTACACCACCACACCCCCCCCCCAACCCCCCCAACCCACCCCACCCCCCACCCCCCCCACCCCAACCCCAACAACCAAAACATAAATAACCCCAAAACCCCATTCATACCCCCCCTCCAATTTCAACCATCCCAACCAAAAACCACCTTATACCACCACACTCCCACCCCCCCTACCACTCCCCCCCCCCCAAAAACCCTTCCAAACAAAACTCAAAAAAAAATCTCCCTCAATCAACAAAAAAACCAACTCCAAACCAACACCCCCCATCATCCTAACTAAACCCAAATACAAACTACCCACCCAACTACATCATCCCCCTACCTTCCCCTTCCTTCTATAATCACCATTTTCCCCCCAAACCCTACCCCCATACATCCCTTATACCTTACAAACCCCCCCAACACCCCCCACCCCCCCTCATCCTTCCATTAAACCCCCAACTAAATTTCTTCCCACCCCCCAAACTCCACCCCACCACCCTTTAACTTCCCCCATCCTCAAATACCACCCCCCCCTTCCCACCCACCTAATCACACCAAACACCCAAACCACCCAACCACCACCCACCACCAAACCCCCAACACCCACACACAACCCCCCACCCCCACACCACCCCCCCCCCCACAACCCCTAACCCCCCCCCCCCCCCCAACCCCCCCCCCACCCCCCCCCCCCAACCCCACAACCAAACACAACCAACCAACCCCACCCCCCCCCACCCCAAACCCCCCCCACCACCCCTCAAAAAACCCCACACCCCCCCCCTCAACACAAACACCCCCACCCCCCCAACAACAAAACAACCAAACACAACCACCAACCACCACACCCCCCCCCCCCACACACCCACCACCCACCACCAACACCCCCACCATCCACAACCACCCCAACCACCACCCCCCCAACCCAACCAAACAACACCCACACAAACACACAACCAATAAACCCCACCACCAAAACCCAACACACACCACCCAACACTCCACCCCCCCCCCCACACCCCCCCCCCACCACCCCACCCCCAACCTAACAACCCCATCCCAACCACACCCCCCCCCCCCAACCCAACCACCCAAAACCACAAAAAACCCCAAAAAAACCAACCCCACACCCAACTCCCACACAACCCACACCCAACCCCACAAACCCCACAACCCCCACCCCCCCCCCACACCCAAACCACCCCCCCCACCCCCCCCACACCCCCCCACACCCCCCCCCCCCCCAACACCCAACAAACAAACCAAACACACCCACACCAACAACCCCCCCCACACACCACCAACACCCAACCACACACAACAAACCCAACAAAAAACCAAACCATAACAAACCACCTAACACACACCCCACACCACCCCCCCCCCCACAAACCCCCACAACATTCATTAAAAACCCACCCACAAACCCCCCCCCCACCCCAAAACACCCCCACCACCAAAAAAAACAAACCTACCACAAAAACTATACCCCTTCATTCTCAATACAATAATCAAAAACACACACTCCCACATCATCCACCACCCAAAACACAAACACCACACAAAAAACAAAAACACACAACACCCAACACCCACAACCCCACACCAATAAAAACCACAACCCCCCCCCCACACCCAACACCCACCCCAAACCCCCACCCCCACTTCAACACCCACACCCCAAAACCCTCACCCACCCCCCCAACACCCACACACAACCAACCACCCCCCACCCCCCCCACCACCAATAACCCCCACACCAAACAAAACAACACACCCCAACAACCCCACCCCCAAACCTCCCTATACCCCCCAACCCCCCACAACAACCACCAACAACCACCCACACCCACCACCCCCTCATACCCACACCACCCCAACACCCCCCCCACACACCAACCCACCAAACACCCCAACACACCCCACCCCCACACAACCCCCCCCCCCACCACCTAAAAACACAACACCCCACCACCACCACACCCCCCACCAACCCACAAAACCCCCAACCCCACAAAACACCCCACAACCCCCACACACCACCCCCCCACCCCACCCAACCCAAAACACCAAAAACCCACAAAACCCCCACACACCCCACAACAATCAACAAAAAAAAACACCACAACACCCCCCACCCCCCCACCCCCCCCCAACCAAAACACCCCCCAAACACCCCAACAACACCACCAACAACAAACACACCCCCCACACACCCCCCCCCCCCCCCACCCCACCACACCCACAACCCCAAACCCCCCACCACTCCAACTCAAACCCAACCCCCCCACCCAACCCCCCCCCCCCACCCCCACACCCAACCCCCCCCACACCACAAACAAACACACCCCACCCACAACACCAACAAACACAAACCACCCACAACCCACCCCCCCTACCCAAACACCCCCCACCCCCCAACAAAACAACCCCACACAACCCCCACCCCCACCAACCTCCAACACCCACCCCAACCCAAACCACAACCACCCCACACCACACAAAACACACCTCCACACCCACCCCAACAAACCCCCACCCCCCCCACCCAAAACCCCCCCCCCCCACACCCAACCACAAACACACCCAACCCACCACCCAACAAAAAAAACCCCCCCTCAAACCAAACCCCAAAACAAACCACAAACCCCCCCCACCCCCCCACACACCAACCACACCCCACCAAACAAACCACCCACTACACAAAAACAACACCAACCCCCCCACCCCAAAAACCATCAAACCCACAAAACCTAACCCACAAACAACCACAAACCCCAAACCCAAAACCCCCCAACCCAAACCACAACAACCACCCACCTTAACACATCAAACCCCAAACTCCCCCCTCCCACAAACAAACCCCCCCCCCCCCACCCACCCAACCAAACCCATTCAAATACAAAACAATACACTAAATACCACCCCCCCCAAACCCCAACCCCCACACAAACATTCAACCCCACCTCCATTCATACCCCATTCCCCCCTTACCCCCCCCCAATTACCTATATATACAAAATATATCCATCAATATATATATAACCCATATATACTCCAATCAATAATCAAAAAAAACATAAATATATAACTATCAAAAAAACCACACCACCCCCCCCCCCCCCCCCACACCCCCCCCCCCCCACACACCCCCCCCCCCCCCCAACCCACAAACACCCACAAACCCAATACCAACCCCCCCCCCCCCCCTACCCAACCCCATAACACCCCCCAAAACAAACCAAAAACCCCCCATAATAACCACACCCATCCAACAATTCCCCCCCCCACCCACCTACCCCCCACCACCAACCACCCTACCCCCCCACACACCACCTCCCCCACCCCCCAAACCCCACCCATCCCTACCCCCCAACACCCCCCCACCAACCCCCACCCACCCCCACCACCCACACCAACCCACCCCCACCCCCCCCACCAAAAACCAACCACCCCACAAAACACAACACCAACAATAACCCAACACCACACCACAAAACAACACCCACAAACACAACCCCAACCACCCAATCTCCCACCCCCAAAACACACACCACCCAAACACCCTCACAACTAATATACCAACACCTATCCCACACCACACCTCACACACACACACACACTATCACACCTCTCTTCCCCCCATCAACACAACCCCCAATCACACTCCCCACTACACTCACCACACATCTCCCTACACTCCTCACACTCACACTATCACCTCACACACCACACTCATCCCTCTTCTCCACTCTCACTACCCCCCTCTCACTCCACACTCACACCCATCACTATCTCACCTCACCTCTCCCCCTCATCTTTTCTACCCCTCTCACACTTTCTCTCTCCCTCTCACACCAAATCTCTTCCACTCTCACACCCCCATCCACTCCATCTCACCCTCTCACACCCCCACTAACACTCCCTCTCTCTCCTCTCTCACTCACTCTACTCATCCCACACTCTCCACACATCTCACTCACTCACACCCCTCTCACTCCTCTATCTCTCCCTCTCTCTCTCCCCTCTCTTCTCCCCACTCTCTTCCTCTCTCAACCCCAATACCAAAACCCCCCACAAAAACCATATACCCCCCATCCCCACATCCCAACCCTCCCCACACCACCCCCCACCAACCACAAAAAAACCCCACACCAACCAACCAACCTACAACACACACCCACCCACCACTACCCCCCAACCACCCAACCACACCAAACAACCCCCCCCCACACCAACCCAACCCACCCACCCCCCACCCCCCCCCCACACTCAACCCCCACCACCCCCACCTCAACACCCACCACCACCACCCCCCACCCCAAACCCACCCCCCCCCCCCCCCCCAACAACCACAACACCACAAACACCCCCAACAACAACAACACCCCAACCAAACTAACACCTAACCAACCCACACCATACAACCACCATCATCATCAAACACACCCCCTACAATAATTCAACCTCCCCCCTACAAATAACTCCCCCTTCCCAACAACACCCCCAACAACAAAAACCTCACAAATCCTCATCATACACACCCAACCTCATAAACACCATCCACAACACCACCAATCCACAACAAACCCAAAACAACTCCACCCAAACAACACCACCACACAACCAAACACCACCAACAACACAACCAACCCCAACCACAAAACCAACCCAACCCCACTAAAACAAACCCCTACCACAACAAAAACCAACAACAACCTCCACCCAAACAACAACCCAACCACACCACCAACACAACAAAACACCCCCCCCACCCCCAACAACCAACAACCAACCACCACACCCCCCCCCCCCACCCCCCCACCCACACCACCCACCCCACCCAACCCACCCCAACCACAAAAACCCCCCCAAACCCAATACCCCCCACCACCCCCCCAACCCCCCCACCCCCCCCACCAACCCCCAACCACAACCCCACCCCACAACCCCCACAAAAACAAACCACACCCACCAAACACAACACCACACCCCAAACACAAAAACAACCACCACCAACCCCCACCCACCCCCCCCCACCCCACCCCCCCCACCAACCCCACTACCCAAACCCAAACCCCAACACCCACAAAACCAACCACCCCCCCAAAACAACCCC